TAGAGCTCGTGTAAAGGGATTTTCTTGTGATATTGGCTTCAATCTTTTCGATAAAACCCTATTCTTACCGCTAGAGACAGAGAGAGAGAGAGGGGGGGGAGAGAGAGAGAACTAAATGTCAAAATTTGATATCTTTTATATTTTATGTTGAATTTGATGCATGCTATATTTAATACAAAACAAAAAGATATATTATAGAGTGATTTTCATTCTTAAATATTAAATTTAGTATTGACGCAAGTTTAGATGCTGTAATGAGAAAGTAAGAAGAATACATAAAAAAAATGGTTCTATTAACACTCATTTTTATTTTTTTTACTCTCAACATTATCTTTTAAATGCACACTTTAAATAATTTTAAAAGAACTAAATTTACTTTTTACACACCTCTATCATTTCAATATTGCCATTAACTAATTTTATAAAATAATTACTTATTGTCCACATCAATTTTCTTTTCACACACCCTCTGTTATTTTAGTTTGTTATTTAAATAGTATTATTCCCCTATCACTTTTTATTTTTTATTTTTTTTTGTTTTGTTGAAGTTTTGGGTTGAAGTCTTTTTTTCAAAATAAAAAAAAATAGCAAAGAAAATTTAACATTGTATCAATGCAACTTTTTAGAATATTTATTAAAAGGTGAAAATTACATATTTTTTTTTAATAAATTCTAGAATAGCAATAGTTTAAATGAAAACATGAATGCATCATTCATTAACAATGTCTAATGTCTCGTTCATTTAACCGATTCGAGTTTAGAATTTGAGTTTTGTTACAGTAAAAAGCTCTCAAAAACAGTCACATCTAACTTTTTTACTACAGTAAAAAGCTCTCACATAAAGTCACGTCCTAACTCAAATTAAAAACTCGAATCAGCGAATTAAACGGTCCTTAATGAATACCTAGAGTTGAGAATGTTTCAGGAGATAGCCCAACTCTTAGAGCTCGTGTAAAGGGATTTTCTTGTGATATTGGCTTCAATCTTTTCGATAAAACCCCATTCTTACCGCTAGAGAGAGAGAGAGAGAACTAAATGCAAATTTTGATATCTTTTATATTTTATGTTGAATTTGATGTATGCTAAATTTAACACAAAACAAAAAGATATATTATAGAGTGATTTTCATTCTTAAATATTAAATTTAGTATTGACGCAAGTTTAGATGCTCTAATGAGAAAGTAAGAAGAATACATAAAAAAATGGTTCTATTAACACTCATTTTTATTTTTTGACTCTCAACATTATCTTTTAAATGCACACTTTAAATAATTTTAAAAGAACTAAATTTACTTTTTACACACCCCTATCATTTCAATATTGCCATTAACTAATTTTATAAAATAATTACTTATTGTCCACATCAATTTTCTTTTCACACACCCTATTTTATTTTAGTTTGTTATTTAAATAGTATTATTCCCCTATCACTTTTTATTTTTTATTTTGTTTTGTTTTGTTGAAGTTTTGGGTTGAAGCCTTTTTTTCAAAATAAAAAAAATAGCAAAGAAAATTTAACATTGTATCAATGCAACTTTTTAGAATATTCATTAAAAGGTGAAAATTACAGATTTTTTTTTTTTTTTTTTTATAAATTCTAGAATAGCAATAGTTTATAATTTATGATACAACATGTAGGGTGTATGGAGAGATAAAAACTATATAATAATTATATAATTAAATATGCCATAATGGTCTTTTTTGTCATTGTATGTGAGGGTCCTTTTGTCATAAGAAAATTTAAGATAAAGGGTGTGTGGAAAGTAAAAATAGATGTGTGAATAAAACTATCCTGAAAAAAAAGATAAGAAAGTAAAAGGAAAAGCCATAAAGGAAATCAAAGTACCCGTTTGGCTCGTTTATTTGAATTGTGTTGATTTGAATTTTTTTATTAGAACATAAAAATTTAAACAGTGTAGTTTAAACATTAATTCGAATTAGCTTTTGGATGTGTAGAACTTTTAGTCCAATAGGCAATAAAGTCTAAATTAGTGTTTGGATGAGTAAGACCAACTCATTTGAATGGGGTTTTTTCCCTAATTGAAAAATTCATTTTTTTTAAGTTGATAATAATTAAAAAAAATTTACATTGAAAAGAAAATTTTTTACACTTAGGTCCGTTCGGTTCCTAGATTCGCTCTCTGATTCGAATCATGATTCGTGATTCGCTACAGTATTTTCTCTCACAAAAAATACACGTAAATAAAAAATGATTCAAATCACATGATTTGAATCCATGAACCAAACGGACCCTAAAAACTGTACAATAACATATTAAGATTTGTATTGAAAAAAAGCTTATTCAACAACACCGTTAACATATATAGAGTGTATAAGTAGCATTTGCGACAAAGAAATTTATAAAAAAAAAAAAAAAAAAAAGCAAACAAAGAATTATAAGAGGATCGAAAAATGACAGCATGCAAACTCAATAACCACAAACAAGCACTTAAGGTAGGGAGGTCCTAAAACGACACCATGCAAATAGGGGAAGGGGATAAAAAACGACAACAACATAGGAGGGAAAAACCAGTTTCTGAGCTGTGGAACTGTAGAATATTGACTTGAAAAGTGGAACTGAGGGGGCCTAGAAAAGGGTTTATTTCAAGCGAACTTGAGCTGCACTTCCGCTAAGTTGGGCTAAATTGGGCGGAACTGTCCATCCAAACACGCCACAATTTTTATTCCTTTTTTAGAAAATTTTTATGGTGAAGTCAATTATTTTATTTTATAAAATTGTTCCTGTTATAAATCTAATTGTTAAAAATAAAAAAATGATAAAAATATTAATCTCTATTAATGAATTAAAATAACTTGCTCTACAGTAAGAATCTTTTTTTTTCTTCTCATCGTGAAGAAAAGGAAATTATCCCTTAATAAAAACAAAATTCTCAAAGGAAAAGGAAATAACTAAATATTCTTTTATTCTAAAAAAATAATAAAAAAAAGGCTAATAAGCTTGAGCAGCAAGGAAGTTGACTAGCCGCAGAAGCCGCACCGTTGTCCTACTCAGACTTCGCATATTTCATTCGAGGTGTTTTCTTTGTCCACGTCAACAGGCACCGATTGTAGTGCACCCTCCATCACCGTTATCCAGTTCAAAGTTTGGTATTTGCCACTGCTTTTTTGACTTTGACATTTCATTTCCCACGTCATTCATTACAATTATTTTTATTATTATTATTATTTTTAAATAGATTTAATTTATAAATTCAGAATCATGATTCAGAATTATTTTTGATTTAAGTGTATTTTTTATGTAAAAAAATACTATAATAAACCATAAATCATGATTCAAATCATGATACGAATACACCAAACACACAATAAATTTAGGGCCCGTTTAGTTCGCTAATTCGAGTTTTTAATTCGAGTTGAGATGTGATTTTATGTGAGAGCTTTTTACTGTAGCAAAAAAGTTAGATGTGATTGTTTGTGAGAGCTTTTTACTGTAGCAAAACTCGAATTCTAAACTCGAATTAGCGAAATAAACAGGGCCTTAAAAGGTGTTTTGTTTCAAGGTTATGTGTGGTTCATTAAATTATTTTTAATTTTATTATAATATTTTTTATAAAAATTTAAATCATAAATCATAATTTAAATTCATTAAACAAACAACCTAGTATTTCTAGAATAAATTATTAATGTCAAAAGCTGGAATTATTTATTATTAAAAAAGAAAAGGCTGATTCAAAGTAGCAGTCTTTGTTCAATTGCATCCTTTTACGTTTGTGGTTACGTAACACCGCGTTTTGATGCAACGAATATAATCATGAATATTATCGTGTGTATATGGTTTCAATGGGAATTTTTTTTTTTTTTTTTTTTATGTTTTATCAAAATGAAAAAATATAATCCGTCAAAAAGAAAAGAAAAAAAAATAGAATTCAACTCCCACTAAGATCATAAAACAGTCTGCATTAAGAATGGCATCCGTCCAATTCATTAAAATAAATTGATCTACATTTGATTTTATTACCTCTACGCATGAATTCAAATTATTTATTCAATTTTAATATCTAAAATAGTATCTAACTAATTAAATTATGCAAAAAATTAAAATATTTTTTAGTTAAATTTGTCTAATTTTAATGTCTAAAATCGTGTCTAATTAATCAAATTATGTAAAAATTTTAAAATTTTTTTTAATTAACTATTTCATGTTTTATATTTGTCTATTAAAAATTATTATAAAATTATAATTGGTGAAACAATATTTTGAAAAATTAGATTGATGTTTTGAGTCCCCTTTTAACATATGTATGTATATACTATTTTTTTTTTTAACAATTAGCATATATAATTAATGATTATTTTATTCTTCTCCAATTTTTGTCCCTATTGCTTGTGTTTTGGGGTTTTCGTTGGACCAAGTCACCAAGTGTGACTTGCGCGTCCCCAACATTTCTTTACAAAACAAAAAGAAAAGAAATTGTAGTAAATAAAATTCTTTTAACTAGCCAAAAAAAAAAAAAAAAGAATTCTTTTGACAACAAGTGTAACAAATGAATGTGTTTAAAATTAAGGCCTTGTTTGGTATGAGAGAAAAATTATAATAAATTTAATTAAATTACAGGTTATGTATTTTATTGAGGGAAAAATTCAAAAATTATAGCAAATAAACATTTATTAGAAAAATATGAGAGAAAATAACAACAACAGGTTTCTATAAAAGTTCCTGAATTTTTTTTTTCTGTGTAAAATATGCTACTAATTTTGCATCCCAAAGTTTACGCTATTAGTTTTTATTTCCCTCATCCTCTCAACAAAAGAATCAGTCCAAACGAAAAATCAAAATTAAGGATGTTTCAAGACGGAAAATCGAACTTTCTAAAAAAAAAAAAAGAAAAAAAAAGAAGAAAGTGGGTTTTTATAATAATGGTTTGCCCGTCACGTGCGGACCATGAATGCAAGAGCACGTGTCCCAGTGGCAGCGGTGAAATTGGGGCTTACCTCACAGTCACAGATTTATTTCTTCTCTCTCTTCTTCCCAACTTGCTTGGAAAAAAAAGGTTCGAGCTTTTTGACGGCTAGTAATACAAGGGCAGGGCCGGCTGTTCCCTCCCCTCTCTATCCTCTTTCTCTCTCTCATCTTTCTCTCTCTAAAGACGGACCCAGAAGCCTTCTCCTATTCCGGTATCTCTCTTTCTCTCTCTCGACCATGTCATATTTGATGTTGTTTATTGGGTAGGAAACAATTTTGGCTTTTTGAGCTTCAAATGGTGTTTTCGATGGCTGGTTAATTTTGTTTTTGGGGTGTAGTTTGTAATTAAGAAAATGGGTTTTGTTGGAAACTGAAGATTTTGGTGAAAGATTGACGCTTTATGTATTTGTGTCCTTGTAGGTAACATGAAAAAAGAAAAAAAAATTGTTTCTTGAAATGGGTATTGTATTGTGTGTACTGATTTTGTGTATCTGAGAAAAGAGAGGAACTTTAGCTTGTCAATTGTCAGTACTCGGAAATACCTTCTTGAAAAAGTGTTGTTTTTGCATTTTGTTTGGGTATTTTGACTCTTAGTTTTAACCTGGAAAAACAAGTAGTTAAAAGACATTGTATTTCCCTAATCAGGCCTTACAATTAGTTTGGTGAGCGTGACAAAGCATTTCATGTGTTTTAGTTTTATATTGGTTTTGTTGACTACCTTTTTGTGACCCGAATTTGATAAATTGTATGAGAAAATGTTAAAAAGTAAAATTTTCCCTTGATGTTTTTGAGAAATGGGGATCTGGTGTTTTGATTTAAGTGGAGTTGATTCATTAGAGTTTTTGCTTCTTCTGAAAGGTGCTACGCTAATGTGTTTTGCAGATAATGTTAAGAGCAAAGCAAATTGGAAATCTCTCAAATAGTGCTAGGTCCTTCTTTCTTAGTGGGTCGCGATGTAACGCTGCAGATGGTAGTAGCTCTTGCACTTGTTCTGAAGATGAAACTTGTGTTTCGCGAAGGCAGAACCTAAGGCATGGGGGGATACTTGCACAAAATCCGTCTACCTTGGCATCCAGAACTTCGGCAAGAGTTGGAACTCTCATTTCAGGAGATGCAGTGAAAGCAGTTAGTACCGAAAAGGCAAGCATGCACAACCCGACTTCTCTAAAGCAAGTTATTATATCTCCGAAAAGTTTGGGGAGATCGGAGTGCGTAAGTTATGCTAGCACCGTTGAGAAGAACGTGGAACACTCTTCGCCTGTTTTTTCAGACCAGTTTGTTAAGGCAGGTGTTGCAGCAGTGAATTTTCTGTCTGATGTAATGAATTATAAATTTCCGTTATCTGATGGAATTGGAATATTTAACAATAACTTGCCCCAAAATTGTATGGTTGATCCGGCCAGGCTTTCTACTAGTATCAGATCATCGCATGTGAATCACGTTAAAAGAAAGAACTTTTCTGGTGTCCATCCAAGACCATCTGTTGAGGCAGCAGTGCAGTATAATTCCACAAGTAGCACGAAGAGTAAAGACAGTAAATCCAGTTCAGTTAAGGGTGTAAACAATGTCCCCAATACTAGGAATGGAAACTCGTGGGCAACTCGAAGTGTACCTGCAGAAGCTCGTGATAGAAGAGCTATACCGAATAGAACGAAAGCTTGTCTAAACAGCTTCAAAGCTGATTTTAGTTCCGACTCGAATCAGTCTACAGATGGTGGAAATGTGGGGTTTGGTAATAAAGGTTTCAACAGGCCTCCGAGAGAGATGAATTTTCCAACAGGATATGCTCCAATCAAGAGGCCATATGCAAACACCGCGAATGTTGTCGAAAGAGTTTCTCACATGCTGCATGGGCTCAGGTGGGGGCGAGCTGCTGAAGAGGCTCTTGAAAATCTCAACTATGCGATGGATGCATTTCAGGCCAACCAAGTACTAAAGCAACTTCAAGACCATAATGTTGCTCTTGGATTCTTTTATTGGTTAAAACGGCAAGCAGGGTTCAAGCACGACGGGCACACTTACACCACAATGGTCGGCATCCTTGGTCGTTCCAGAGAGTTTGGTGCCATAAACAAATTGCTCCATGAGATGGTGAAGGAAGGATGTCAACCAAATGTTGTCACGTATAACCGTCTTATTCACAGTTATGGCAGAGCAAACTACTTGAAAGAAGCAATTAATGTGTTCAATCAAATGCAAAACGCAGGGTGTGAGCCTGACCGCGTGACGTACTGCACACTTATTGACATCCATGCTAAGGCTGGTTTTCTTGACGTTGCTCTCCGTCTATACGATAGGATGCAACAAGCCGGGCTTTCTCCTGATACATTCACTTACAGTGTCATAATCAACTGTCTAGGGAAGGGAGGTCACTTAACTGCTGCCCACAACCTGTTTTGTAAGATGGTCAGTGAGGGTTGTGTTCCTAATTTAGTCACCTACAATATCATGATAGCTTTGCAAGCCAAAGCAAGGAACTATGAGACTGCGTTGAAGCTTTACCGGGATATGCAGAATGCGGGTTTCGATCCAGATAAGGTTACTTACAGCATAGTAATGGAGGTGCTTGGCCATTGTGGGTATCTTGAGGAAGCAGAAGCTGTTTTCGTTGAGATGAGACACAAGAACTGGGTGCCTGATGAACCAGTCTATGGTCTTTTAGTGGATTTGTGGGGCAAGTCAGGTAACATTGAGAAGGCTTGGGAATGGTATCAAGCAATGCTTAATGCAGGGTTGCAGCCTAATGTGCCCACTTGCAATTCTCTCCTCAGCGCTTTCCTTAGGGTGCATCGGCTGACGGAGGCCTACGAGTTGCTGCAGAGCATGGTGGATTGGGGCCTCAACCCGTCTTTACAAACTTATACTTTGCTACTGAGTTGTTGTACAGAAGCACAGTCACCATATGACATGGGGTTTTGTTGCAAGCTCATGGCAACCACGGGCCACCCCGCGCATACATTTCTGCTGTCCATGCCATCTGCGGGACCTGACGGTCAGAATGTTCGAGATCATGCGAGTAGGTTCTTGGATCTGATGCATAGTGAGGATAGAGAGGGCAAGAGGGGACTTGTGGATGCAGTGGTGGATTTTCTCCACAAGTCGGGGCTAAAGGAGGAGGCTGGCTCGGTTTGGGAGGTGGCTGCACAAAAGAACGTGTATCCAGACGCGGTCAAGGAGAAAAGCTCTTGTCATTGGCTCATCAATCTCCATGTTATGTCGGATGGTACTGCTGTAACGGCACTTTCAAGGACGCTCGCCTGGTTTCGTCGTGAAATGCTAATCTCTGGAATTTGTCCAAGCCGGATTGATATTGTGACGGGATGGGGCCGCAGAAGCAGGGTCACTGGAGCTTCTCTGGTGAGGCAGGCTGTGCAGGAACTGCTGCGTATGTTCAGCTTCCCATTCTTTACTGAAAATGGCAATTCTGGGTGTTTTGTGGGCTGCGGCGAGCCTCTTAATAGATGGTTGCTCCAGTCTTATGTGGAGCGAATGCATTTGTTGTAGACGTTTATGTACCGCCATTATCGTGGAAAACACAGTTTTGTAGCCCCCGGAGGGAGGAGCGGAGCCTGGTAATGCCCGTTGTGTACAGTTTTGTATTGAAACTGGATCTTGAGATTTTTTTTCCTGGTACTGGATTTTTAACTTAAATGAGAAGTTTTTTATCCTCTATCTATATATGCTTCTAATAATCTGCAGAACTAAAAAATCATGTCGTTTTCATGGTGTTTAGTAGTCATATCTCGTGATATATGATGGATAACCAAATTCCAACGAGTGAAACAAGCGGTACATAACAGTAGTTTTCTGTATGCTTACAAAAGATTAAGAATAAGTTTGGCCTTTTAAGATAACTATTAAGTAGTTACTAATTAAGACTTAAAAAGAGTGATTGTTGCAATGTACGTTTGCTTTGCATTCAAGACCAAGTAGAGCATACCCACCATTCACTTCTCTAGTCAAAATCCATTTATGCTTAAACTTGTGGTCTAAATCTTGTTGGGTATATTTGTATATGGTATATGGTTATGGGGAGACTAGTGTAAGGTATGTAATTAGTATTTATATTAAAGGTTCCACACAGTACTCAAATGCATGCTTTGGAGCTGGAGAATAAACCCAAAAAAAATAAAAATAAAATTCCTAGTATCTAATGTGATATACATGTATAATACAAATGTACAGTAATATTACCCTCGTTTGTTTCACTGATTTAATTCAATTCAATTCAATTTGAACAATGAGCACAGTTTGAACTGGTGTTTAATAAGAATGTAACTTGAATTATATTTGCCGTTTGAAATGAGTTAAACAATCTAACTTAGAGTTTAGCTCCCCCTCAAATTTATCCCTTAAAACCATTTTTAAACAGTAAAAGGGTGCCCACTCTCTCTGCTTTTTCACACGTACAAAATACAACTTCAAATTTTATTCCGTCTTCAAATTAAAATTTTAACTGCACATTTAAACGTAAATTCAAACTATAATTTAAACCACACAGTTAAATTTTTTATTTAAATTAATAAAATTTAAACTGGTGAATTAAACGGAGCCATTAAATTTGATGGGGCTGTAGGTCTCACCACTATGTGAGTGCAGGGATCACAGTCCAACGGAGCTAAAAAGGAGTATTCTACATATAATAGTGATCTTGCTCAAGCTGAAAAAGCCTATCGTGATCCTAAAATTATTGCTTGTGCCCAGAACAACTGGGACTAGGGAGAAAATGATGAGAATATCTGCTTGAACCCCTGGGAGACAGTTTTTTTATTTTATTTTTATCTTTTTAAGTAATTGAGTGTTTTTTTGAGTGTGTATATATGTTGATTTTCAAGAACTGTCATAAAATCACGAACAATCATTCAAATGAGTTTCTATTGACTGACTCCGCCTCTCACTCAGAGTGACGGAAACAAAAAAAAGTCTCAATCATTACTTTCTACCAATGTTTGTGAAACAGATATTTGTTCACGAAATGATCATGCAGTGACCTTCCACGCAAGAAAGTTGCAAAATAATTTGCAAGGATTGTCTCTCTTCTCTCTCTCTCTCTATAGTTTCTCTCTCTTGCTGCTCTTGGAGCATAATAATGTACTAAATTGGATTGTCTTTTGGCATGCAAATACAATAAAAAAAGTATCAATAACACTGCCTAAAAGGTGGATCAAAATCCTGCATGAAGCCATGAGGGTTAAGCAATTTCATTGATTAACAACCCGTTTGATTAGAGGATTCGTTCTCTAATTCGAATTATGGTTTATGATTCGTTACAGTATTTTCTCTCATAAAAAACACACGTAAATCGAAAATGATTTTAATCTCATGGTTCTAATTCATAAATCAAACGGGCTGTACTTTCCATCATCATGAGATTAGAACCATTTTTTATTTATGTGTGTTTTTTGTGAGAGAAAATACTGTAACGAACTATGAACTATGATTCGAATCAGAGAATGAATCCTCCAACTAAACGGGCTGTTAAAGGCTTAAAGCTCCCTTATTCCTTGGAAATAAAAATTGAAAGATTATACATATATATATATATTTATGTAAGTAAGGATACAATTGAAAGAAAAAGGTTAAACATGCTTTCATACATGTCAAAACCACTTTTTCTTTCTTTTGTAAAAAATGTTGAAATCACTATTATGAAGGCGTTACGTGTGTTTGATTGGAAGAACGTGGTATTCTTGCATCGTATTGTAGTGACTAAAGAAAATGAAAGGATTAGAGGAGGAAAAAAAGAAGAAATGCAGAAGTGGCCAAAGTGTTAAAAGAAGAATTTGGAAAGAAAGAGAGATAAAAATTTGTTTAAAAAAAGAAAGAGAGTTGCAAGGTTGCTTTTTGCCATGTGGTTGGTTTAAATAGTTAAAAGGAATGAGAAATTTAAAAGTTTGAGGAAGCCTTATTTATTCTAGCACTTGAAATATTTTCTTTTCTTTTTTGGGACTTTCTTTGGCGTTTTTTTTTTTTTTTTTTGAGACGTCGGTATTTTTTGTTTATCAGCTGTCAGATCTGCATTATTTTTTTAATCTAATTTAATTTTTAATTAGATTTAATACAAATCCGACGGCTGATAAGCAATGACACCGGTGTTTTAAAAAAAAAGAACACCAGAAAAGTCATTTATTTCTATTACAATAATTTTAACCATTTTAGCATAAAGATTTCCATGAAAAAATAATGAAAGTATTTGCATCCTTTTTCCTTCTTTTTTCATTTTTTCCCGTTTCCCTTATTCTTCGTGATTTCTTCTAAATCAGTCCAAATAATTACAAAATTTACACGTTTCTTTGCTTGTTTTCTTGTTAAACTGTAGGCTTTTGTTTGGGCTCTTATTCCTCCAATTCATTCTTGTCAAGCTGTTTGTTCTACTTTATTTTGTTTTATTTTATTTTTTTTGACTTTTGAGCTCCTTCAAGAGTTAAAGTTACTAATTAATCAACATTTTAGCTTCCTAATTACTAATTGAGATTTATTAGAGCAATATCAAATTTTTCCTAGAGTTTCTTTTTTTTTTCTTTTTTTTAATAAGAAATAGAGGCTGCCACGTGATTAAATACCTAACCGACCATAATTTTTTCCCTTTCCTTTTCTTTTGAAAGGAATGGACCATAGTTTTGGTGCTAGAAAAAATTAGCCAACATGGTGCTACTTCACTAATAGAAAGCAATTGTGAACTAAATATAGTCATACTTTTAGTGGTATTTCAATTGTTTATATGTAAATGCAATTTTTAATTTAATTAAATTCTCCAATACGTATGTTACCAATCTGTATCTAAATTATTTCACCAATTTCCATCATAACAAAAGAGAGGCCAGTCCCTCAAAAAAGAAGAAAAAGAAAGGCCAGATCTTTACCAAAAGGAAAATTCATATTTTAGCAAAAAATTAAACCTTTATTGCTTTATTTAACCTAAACTTCAGTGATGAATATAAGCAAAAAAAAAAAAAAAAAAGGATAAAATTGAACTTTTAGAAATCCATAGCTAAGTATTTGAATTTCATTTTCCATGTGCTTGAAAAGAATTGTTTGAGGTCGCCGTTTTTGGCTATTCAATTAAATTAATGTCTGTTGTTTTTTTTTAAAATTTTTTAAAATGGATGAAGTTTAAAAAATCTTTTAAGGTATGTTCGTTTCATAAAAGTTAAGAACTTAAATTATGTATGTGAGAGAAAAATATTATAACAAAAAATTAAATTTAAATTTTTATAAAAAATAACATTATAATAATAAAACTTAAATTGTGACATAATTTTATCTAACTCTCTCTCTTCCCCGTCTCCCTATCTTCTTCTCCTATATTCTCTCTTTACCCAGCTCCAGTTATTTACCAAAAACAACAATGAAGTTTATGGGCTCGTTTAGTTTGCTGATTTGAGTTTTTAATTTAAGTTGAGATGTGATTTTAAGTGAGAATTTTTTACTGTAATAAAAAAGTTAAATATGATTATTTGTGAGTTCTTTTTACTGTAGCAAAACTCGAATAAGCGAAATGAACGAGACCTATAATTATCTTTTCAAGCGCGCTAATAATTTAAATTGGCTATTTAATTAATTTTAAAAAGTATTA